TGTTCTTGATTATTGTCGTTTGAAAAAAGTCTGTACATTTGATGTTAATGATGCTAAGAAATTTCCATTATTTTTCAATGCAAAAATCAATCGTATGTATTTGATTTTTCTAATATCAATACGGAACACGATCAAAAAGGAACGTTAAAGTATATCGAGTAGAACTTCAGACTCACTCGTTCTCTGAAATATCATGATAGATACTCTGGCGATTCATCATAGACGATGACAGGCACCTTGATGATTTTCTCTTTGATGATGCAAATAACAAATATATCGTGTTTCATATTGTAAAGTCACAGGAAAAGCGCTAACAGGTTTTTTTTTCAATATTTAGTTTATTTCTTTTTATTCAGGTCAATTGGATCAAAATTTTATTCAAATTTTACTTGAAGAATTACGTAATCGAGGTAGAGACTAGTAGAAAAACGCAAATATGATTCTTATATATTTAATTAAACATAGGTAATATTGAATGGCAAGATAAAAATAAACGACATTGTCTAGTCTTATGGAAATCAATTGAAGAATGGGCTAAAACAGTTTATCATTGGGTATATTGTTTAATTGAATTTTAAATTTTTATATTTTATGTATCTTCAAAGATTACATCACGAGGTATGAATGGAACAGTTTGTACATTCTATGAATTATTATATGGTGATGATACACGTTCAGCTGGTATGAAATCTCTTCATTTGTTTATTCTACAAAAAAAAAAAACAAATTTTAATTTTTGTTTTCTATATTTATTTGTAGAATTTCATAAGATTGATGAAAATCTTTTCCGTCGTATTCTAATGGAACTTGAAAAACGTGGTCAAGCTACTGTATTTTTAGATAATGGAGCTGAAGGTGTTAAATTCTTGTAGAAAATGTTTTTTTTTCGCCTTACTTTAGCGTATTAAAGATAAATTTTTATTCTACAATTAATCACTTAATTTTTATATTTCTCTTGTAATCATTTTTTTTTCATATAGTAGATGAAAATACGTAAAAAAAAGAAACTGTTTCTAATGTTCTTTTATAAACAAACAAAAGCAAGTCTACAATAATGGTAAACAATGTCGACAATGATTAAAAGAAGAACTTCAAGGTTTTTTTACAAGTAAGTAAATATATTTAATATGACTGATTTTTGAAATAAATTTATTTTACATCAACTTATTTTTAGTATGTAAAACAAATACTAAGAGAACTAATACTAATTGGTTTCGACTTGAATTAAATTCAAAAGGAATTAGTTAATGATGCAAAGCTCGGACTATTCAAGATGTGCTACGGCATGAATTTGCTGTAGATAGTTTTAAGTAATTCGAAATGTTTCTTCAATTGTATGCCTATTACACATTCAATAACAGCATCAAAGATCGCTATATCTAACCTTGATGAAAAAAGCAGCCAAAAATATGCCGGTAAATATAATTATTCATATGTGTATCTCCTATATTTAGAACAATTATTTATTTAGTGATGGATAAAATTTACATGACTGATCATTTTCAATCTCTATGGGTTCCAAATATGTCTCATTTTGCTATTGTTTATGTATTTGTTCTTGATGTGAAATAATGATGTATATGATAAAATCACAAATCTTGAATTTCTTTTATTGAAAAACTTCTCTAATGTAAGCACCATCGGGGATCTACTAAAAATACTCATTGTTGACAGGTTTTTCAGTTTCTTTTTCTCTTTTTACAACTTATAAGTATTCAATTTCAATCGCTTGTCGACTGCACAAGGTCATCTTTTTCCTTTTTCTTGCCAACAATTTATTAATTGAGCTTTTTCCATCAGACAAAGGCAAATTAACATGTGTTGACATGGTTTGATGTTAAAAGTGTTTCAAAAGAAAAATGACGAAACATTACACCATTCACTATTGTTGTTGTTGTTGTAGTTTAACATTGTCTTTTTCTTTCAAATATTCATGGCTAAACTATCTGCTTATTCCTATGTGTCATATGATTATTTATCATAACATCATAGATATAACATCATGTTTTTCTCGTTTTTCACATGAATGATCGAGCATATGTTTCTCACATTACAGAAGTTGTCATTGTTCGAAGAACCGGAAATAAGAGCGCACTCATCAGAATAAAGAGGTACTCATATCAAGAGGTTCTATTGTATATTGATTCTTAATTTCGCTTGTTCTATGGCTTACTGCCGACATACTTGACTTAATTGCTCGTTGTATAGTGGTACATAAAGAACGAGCCATACTAACTACTAGTGGTGATAGTGCTTTATCGAACAAATAAAGTGTTCTAATAAAAAAAAAATCTTTTTATGTGTTTACCATTATTTCTTGTTGAATAAGAGTAAAAATAAAAAGTTTTCATTTTCATCATTATTGTTGAATACGATTACAACTACTGAACTATAAAGTCTAAGTAAGAACGTATAGAAATTTTGATATAATTTGTGACAAATGAATTTTATTCATTAACAAAAACATGATTATAATTGTAAAACTCAATAAAAAGAATAAAAAACAATATATGAACTATAGATCATTTTCTTAGTCAAAATCAAATAAGAAAATTCAATATATATTAAGTTTAACAATATCTGCAAATTGTGTCATAATAGAGATTGTAGAAACAGTGTTAAATCTTTCAACATTTTTTGAATATCTAATTACAACCATTTTTAAGACACTTCAGATATCTCCTAGAACTTTTTCATATAGAAAATCTTTATTATATATTCAACTGTTCTGTTTTCCATTCTGTCTACTTTCATTGTTTGTCATCATCGTTTAATCAATGGTATAATTTCCATTTATCGACTGTCTCATATCATGAAAATCTTACTAATACATTAGCTTACTTGAAGGTCACAACAAGACTATCGCGCGACGATCGAATGTCTGATATCTAGAGATATTTCTCACATAAGATGCTTGATTCGAGTTCGGATATAAATGAAGATTCAATCGCAAAAAAAAAAACAACTATTGAGGATCTTTCACGATTTCATTTCTATTAGTTTATCAGTTGACACAACGTTTTACCAAATTTTATAAAATCCAATGAACATCATAATTACTAATCGCATAAAATTCATCTTTTAATTTTATCTAATGAGATGATTACAAGAATTAACAATTTTCATTGACATTCAAAATATGATGAAGTAAATCGTCGCTAAAAACTGTCGATATTGTCATCTTTTATGAAGAGCAGATAGAAGTTCCATTGACAGATTTATATGCAGCTTATTGTGAAATGATAACAAAGCGGACCGATTTAGTGATGAAAAGAAATAACTTAGAAGAAATGAGTATATTTATTATTTCATTTATTTGAACACGATCCTTCATTTTTACTCCAAACTCCAATTTTAAGTATAAGCTTATCAAATATTTATGCATTCAAAAAAAAAAATCATTTTTTTTTTCTTATAGAAATATTTAGGCGAAGATTCAAATGAAGTACGAACCCTATCAGAATTACAAGGTTTATTTTCTTAACAGATTCAAAATCGAAATTTAACAAACTTAAATATACTTGAAAATATCATAACATCATTAACTGTAAAAAAAAAAGAAAGAAGTTATTGAGGAATAATATAATATTTCATAGATTACTTATAAAACAAGACTTATTAATAATATAAATTTACATAAAATATTCTCTTTATTCATCTTTCAACTACATTGCATATGCATCAGTTAATACTACGTAGTAACTTTTGCATAAAAGAAATTAATAACCACATTGATTCAATCGTAATTGTTTACAAACATTTCTATGTAGTAAATGTTCATTTCTAAAGTATGTTTCAAATAAAAAACAAACCAAAAAAATAAAGAGATTATTGTCCATAAAAAAAAGAATACTGTTTATACTAATTATTAGTAACTAATATTAACAGTTGTATGAACTTGTCGAATTCAAATTTGACAAAGAATAAAACTTTAAAACTGCTTATAATTATCGACACGTTCGAAAAGTCACTAATTTCAGTTACTATTATTTGATAATAGGAAGATATTTATTCTAATATCCCCACTTGCCTTATAAACGAATAGTCAATTATGCTAAGAAATATCAACGAAGTTCACAGATATGTGTTTTTTGTCAACTACCTTTCTTCGTCATATAGAATAAGATTAAATGTCTTAACGTAAAGTAAACCGGAATTTTGGCAATCTATTCAATTTCCGTCGTACTTTTAACAATAAAAACTTGATTAAAATTCTGACAGGAAATAAGACAATTTTCTGAGGTTATAGAGTTTTCACCGATGTTTTCACTTCATTCCACTATTGTTCATTGATTAATCAGAATTTCAACAATTTTTCATATTGTCAAGATGCCTGAGGAAATAGAACAAGCATACCTAAATTCCACACAATCCTTACCGTAATGATTTTTTACAATCTTTTGTCTTATCCTAAATCAAACATTATTCATGTAACATGTATTCTTATGTTTTCTACAAGAAAAACACATCCCTTCAAATGTAATTATCTTCTTATAACGTTAATTAATGGTTTAATTTTTCTAAAAAATTATCATGATCTTTAATGTCTACTTTATTTTCATCAAAAATAGTTGTAACAATTTTTTGTTGAATTTTTATACATTCTCAAATTTAATAAATAATAAGATATGTTCTATTGATGTTTTTTTTTTCGTTAAAGTTAATACACAAAACAATGATAAATTATTAAAATATATAATAAGCGTTATTTCTTTTTTTTTCAAACATTTTGTTTCTTAAGCTATCAAACTTCTTTTGAACAATTCTTGGATCAGTTTTCTTTTTTCTTTCTCTAGTTTGTTATAAGACTTTTTGATATAGAATTGAAGGGACAACAATAAAAGAAAAACAATTAGTAGAGATCAAATATAATAAACAGCAAGAAAAAGACAAAGGAAAATAGGAAGAAAAACATGACTAGTGAAGAAATAACAACGTCAATTTCACTGTGAAATATGTATATATATATATTTATCATTCAAATGAAAGTTAATATACAATCAAGTATGATATCTACCATTAGTATTAGGAGTCGGTGTCATCTTCTTATAGTTTCTATTATTTTCTTCATAGGATCCTTGTTCATCATCATCAATTTGATCAGTTACAAATGTATCAACTTCTTCAGTACCTTCAACATTACCATTTTCGTCATCTTGATCATCATTACGAAATACTTCCATTAATCCTTGTATAATATTTTCTAAATAATTATTTCCACCTAAAACATCAATTTCATCATAGACTTGTTTTGATAATTCATCACATGTTTGACGTGTATATTCAATTGAACCAAAATCATGTAATAATTGAACACAATAACGTTTTAATTCAACATCTTGTGTACGTTGTTTTAATATATGTATTATACGTGTATCATTTTCACGTGTATTAACAGCATGTAATATTGGAAATGAAAATTTTCCTTCTGTTAAATCTTCACAGTACGATTTATTTGTTGCATATTCTTCGGATATTAAATTACAATAATCATCACGAATTTGAAATAAAAGTGATAGTAATTGACATAATCTGTCAAAATTATATGTATTACGTATTTCTATTGGTGCAAATAATTGCATAAGACGTACACCTAAATTAAATAGACCACCACATTTTCTCATCACCATTTGACGATATTCATCTTCAGATGGCGATACAAAATTATCACGCCACCATATTTCCATTCCTTGACCATGATGTAATTCGAGCATTTGATCTAGCAAAAGAATAGTGATGAAAAAAAATAAACGATTATTTATTGTATAATTTTTAATATAACTACTAGTTGATGAAAGAATTTTATCAAATGTTAAAGATGAAACCGCATTCTTCCCACGATAGTATTTCTAATCGCATACAGACAAAATTTGACATTGAAGTTATAAATGATGACTGTTCAGATTATCTTATCTGGATCGCATTATCCTTTTTTGTTCTGACATCAAATATAAGCAAACTTAATTAGTTACTACATTAGGATGTTTCTTATCATGGAGTGAGATATTTGATTTGTTATTCATTATGATTATAAGAATCATAGTGTATTTTTTGTATCGATTCAATAGAAGATTCTTATCTAATAATGCTTTATATCTATATATATATATATCTAATTTTATAAGAAATTTTTCCTACAATCATATTATTAATTAAATCATACCAACAAAAATTTGTGTCACATCTGGATGCTTTAATGTAAGAGCTTTTTGCATAGCCAAAAAATAAACATAATTGGCAGCATTGATAGTTAACGGAACACCATAGATACTATGTGCAACAGGTGAACCACGACGTAATTTTGAATTATCTTGTATATCATCGATAAGTAGTGATGCATTGTGAAGCATTTCAACAAGGTCTCCGATAACAAGAAGTTTATCTTCAGGTATATGAAGCCAAAGATTAAAGGCCTTTAAATAACGAACAAATAAACAAAGTAAATGTACACTATGATAACAATATAACCAATTAATATTCTTACTTTGATCAATTTTGGTCGTATTTGTTTGCCAGGTATAGTCCGTATGTATTCATAAGGTTCAAGAAGAATCTATTATTAAATAATAATAGTAATTGAAAAGACAAAGAAGACATCGAAATAGATTACCTTATTTTCTTGATCGGGATCTGCTGTTGATAATTCATCACTTTCCATCATTAAGAAGAAAAAAAAACCTTAATCAATTGATAAAAATCTAGAAGAAAAATATCAAAACTTATTTTTGAATCTGAAGCACTTATTGCTTATAGCAGTTTAATAAATGAAAAATTGCGTAACGATATAAAATGATGCCAACATATACATATGTATTTGTACACTAGTCCAGCGATTAATTCGAAACATTATTCGGCATCACAAGCGATATGAATCGAATATTTGCGCAAGCAAAAGAAAGAGAGCAAATGAAATTGGTTTCATACTCTTTCGCTCTCTCTCATTCTCTTTGTCATACAATGAACGACGCAGAAGAAATAGATAGACATTGAGTCTAATCAAACTGGACAACAAATATTAACGGACGACTCGCTCCGTTCAACGTTGTGCAATCATTCTACTACTATATGTATATGTATGTATTTAAATTTGTTTGAAGCTGAATTCGGAAGTCTCGTAATTATCAATCTATAATCAATAAAAGATGTGTCAATACTAGTTTAGGGAAAGAAAAAAAAAGAGCAACATACACAGATAAGGCATACGATCAAATAGTATACTATGAGTAAACACCTGCATGTGGCGTTGATGAGGTCAAAAGGCTATCATATAAAGAAAAAAAAGCGACGAAAGAACCAGAAGAAAAAATGATGAACAAAAGAAGCCGTTGAAAACATATGAGAATATGACGGTGTCATGCGACGGATGCATATAATTTTTACGTAGTGCATATGAAGAAGTCATAGTTGTATATTCACCATAATCATAATTCGTTTGACACTTGAGATCAACATATAACAGATATTACCACGCGTATATGACACTTGTTTTATGTCATAAAAAAAAACGACACTTATGCACGAACACATGAGTATAGAAAAAAAAAAAAAGAAAAGTAGATCTGATGCTACAACAACCGTCTATTTTTTTCTGCTTTTTTTTCTCTCTACTATACTCTACTGACGACAAGAAACGCAAAAAAAATAAAAAATAAAAAGAACAAGCTTACTCGAAGAAAAGAAAAAAGAACAAGAAGAAAAAAAAATCTATCATAACTACTGTTTGATCGGAAAATAGTACAAACATAAATTTCTCAATCAACCATATATAAAGAATCACATTTAATACCAGATGTTAAAATAGACATAGAATACATTGTGGAAAAGGTCATCGATTAGACAAACATACAACAATGAATAGACAATGATCAATCCATCGAAACATAGAAATCGAGCTTTGATCATTTTTTTTCTTTTATACTTCACATTAATGTGAAGAAGAAGAAGAAAGGCAGAGAGAAAGATCTATCGACAATTTATCAAAATTTTTTATTTTTTATTATATATGCGAAACACGCGACACTAACACCGATAAATGATAATTGCTGAAGTTGTATAAATCTGATGTGTGGTTAAATGCACATCTAGTAATAAAAAAAAAAAAAAAGAAAATCTATCAAGAAAGTGACGAAGAACAAGTTAATGAAATCAACATTGAAGAGAAAAAAAGACGAGAGAAAATATCGACAGTGTTATAATGCTATCATCTATAAAAGCCATTATATTGTAGATGATCATCAGTCAGGGACATAGATATATTTATATATATGTATATGTTTATCTTCAACTTGCTTTTTTCAAGGCTAGAACACTCGACATTCAACGTCATCAATGTCTGATTCATTATTATAACACGTTTCATGCATTTATAACTTACATTGAAAACAGCAACGAAGCTAAACAAATAATAAAATATATTCACGAAAAAAAAAAAGATAAAAGAAAGTTACTGATTTTCTTTTAATAGTTCTGCACCAATGAAAACAAAAAAGAAAAAAAGATGTATACAATAGCAACGCCAATATTTACAAAAATTAAAACAAAAAAAAAAAGAAACATATATATTTCATTTAGATAATTTTATTAAATGTTTTTATATATGATTTATAAAATGGATTTTTCGATGATCGAAGTAAATCTTCAGTAAATTGAGGTGGCATCTGAAGTAGTTCATTATGATTAACATCTGTTAACATATTACGTTGTAAATAATAAGCTGTTAGACGTGTTCGGGCATATTCCTTAAAAATTTCAATATAGATATTATTTTCAAATATATTTGTTTCATTTTTTGTATTCTCTTACTAAATAACCAAATTTAATTGTTGTTGATACTGCCATATGAATTGCCCATAATGTCCAAAAAAAATGTGAAGCCAATGCAAAATAATTTGCTTCTTTCATTATTTTTTGTGCTAATTTATTACGATCAAAATCTATTTCATCACTATATATACCATCAGTCATTTGATGTATAGAATAAATATATTTGTCGTGACTTTTAATCAATGTATCAATATAAGATAAAAGAAAATTCATCTAGATTATATATTTATTTATTTATTTAATATAATTAATTATGTTTCATAATAACTTACTTGTTGTTTCTCATTTGGATAACAAGTAAAATCAACTTTAAAAAATGGCCATTCTGTAGCAGATTTATAATCAAACATAAATTCACAAAAATGATTTCCAATATCAAAACCACTATAGAAACAAAATTTTTAATTCGGTTAAAAAGAAAAGATTGTTTTTTTTTTACCGATAATTATATGAACAGTATTCAAAATCAATAACCGTAAAATTGTCGTGTTCAGAATTTAAACGAAGAATATTTCCTGGTTGAAAATCATTATGAGTGAAACAAACAGGACTATCTATGGTAGATAATAATTTTCTAGAAAAATACAAAAATCAAATTATTTTTGTTTTTTAAATAAAGAAATAATAAATTACTTTAAATCTTCAAATTCTTGGTTGAAATTACATACAGATCGAAGTTCTTGAAATATTTGTCGATCTTCTTCATCTTTTAATTTACTTGTAATCCATGTTATATCAGATAAATATCTTAATACAAATAAAAGCAAAATATATAAATTTGATTAAAGAAAAATAAATAAATAAATAAATTCTAACCTTTCAATTGTACTGAATAACCATATAGGTTCTTTAACTAATGGCATATCAATTTGATGAAGTTCACCAAGAAGTCTACCAAGTTGTCTTGAAATATTTTCATCACGAATTTCTGAGACAAGTAATGATTCGGCCTAAATTAATAATACAAAAGAATCTTTTTTTTTTGTTTTTTCATATTCAATTTCAAAGAAAGATATTCATATTCATCTACGTGTATAGTACATATCGTTAATCATATTTTCATTAGAGAATTCTTCTATCCTATCTATCCGACTCATTCTACAAAATGCAAGAAATTTCTAGAGATCGCTCGTTTACAGTCTAACGCATTAAGAATAACGCAAATACGTCATAGACGTTAGTATACTTACTTCAACAAATTCCTCAAGTCGTCCATCAGGAAATATACCATATACATGTGGACCTAATTTTCTTTCAGATAATAATGTACATACAACACTATCAATAAGTAATGTAGAACGATGTTGTTGATGTGATTCACCATAAATTCTTTAAAGTAATTCAAACAGACAAAAAAAAAAAATTTAAATCATAAATTTAAATATTCATTCGATTACCTTAATAAAACTTTGCGAGGCTCATTTTGTTGTATTTGAACATGATCAGGTAATGAACAACAATAAAGATAATTTGATAAACCACCACTAATTTTCAAACAAAGAAAATATAATTCTCATGAAGATTTTTATATATAAAAAAACCTACGAAATTCGATCCACACGTATTTGTTCAGCGGTTAAAGTTGTCCAAACACCACCTAAAAAATGTTGACACCATTCAAGTGCTTGACTTGATGATACTTTTTCTTGAGATAGAATCGTATTGAATACCATTAGTCTAAATATTTATTGTTTTTTTAATATTATGAAATTAATGCAATTATTAATAATAATAAATATACAAATTATCTTTTCTTTCTCATATAACAAACGATTACCAATTATAACAAATACTATATTCTAAGATTTTCTCATTATGATGATGAATTTAGAAAATAAACAATCGTATTCTCATGGTATTAACTTATTTCTTACCACAAAATTTGTAATTTAATAACTGTATCTGTATCTTTCTTTTATCTTCTATTCAAATAGAATAAATGCATATTTTACAAATCGATTTTTATTGAACAAAAGAAAAATGAAACATCTGTTACCGATAATGTTTATTTTTTTTTATTGTTAATGTTCCTGATGATACTTTTTAGTTTGACTTTCTTTTTGCTTTTACCTCTTGATCACTCTGACCATTTTCTGTATAAAAACGCCCACTTGATTCGTTAATGACATAGCTATATGAATAATATATCTACAAAAAAAAAAAAAAAGAAAAATTATAATATCAAAATTCAAATCCAAAAAAAAGTGAATATCAAAGAAACCAAGTTTTCAGTTTGCAAAAAATAATTTACCTCACGTCCATTGTATATCTCTAGAACAAATTATTCAAGCTTCATGTGTAAAAAGAATTGAATGATAAGAACGTCATTTTAAAGTTACACAGGATAATATGCGTGGGTATGGTAATAATAAGAAGTGCGAATACTTTTATCTATTGTATATGCTTTAGTTCTACAGAAGTTATTATTAGATAAATAATCATCGTTTTAGCAAAGAAAAGAAAGAAATAAAAATATGTATATCAATGACCTAAAACAAGAAAAGAGTGGTAGTAAATACATTCTCCATAAATGTCACGAGTATCAAATGAAAATATACTGCGTCACAAGACAAAGAAATCTGTTATGGGCAAATTTTTGTTCTTTTACTATCATGCGGAATAGATAACAACAAGCTATTTGGCTAATACTTCCAGATATAAAAGTTCCCATGTGTCATCAAAGTAATATTTCGGACTGACATGACTCATTTATCATCTGTTCAGATACAATCATTATGATTCAACATGTTATGATAATCAATTCTAAATAAACATGGTGAAGAATATTGTTTAGAAACATTTTTAATACGATAATGATTGTTAAAGAATAACTTA